TCATTTTACACAATAAAATATGATATAACCAAAATGGTGACTCTCTGTTAATGAGAGAGCGTCATGAGTAGTAATCATATACTGTGAGTCTAGAATAAAATGTTGTTTTAAAAAGTTGCAAATAAGAGAAACAAACTTTGTGTTTCTTCGGTGAATCTAACCCTGATTCTATTCCGCCACCTAGTGGGTGAAAAAACATTAGTTTACAAGTTTGAGCAGAAAAAACACAGAGGCACAAAAAACAACATCAGTTAGCACTGCAGCCCTGAGACTGTTAAATAAGGTGCAGCATGAACACTATTTAAAAATAAATATCTGTTAAAAAAAGAAATACAAATATGGTAATGAATCAATAAAAACATGATTAAAAATATAGAAATGTGACCAAAAAAAATAAGAATATGACAAAAAATACATAAAATGTGTGATAAAAACCAAAGATAAATGTAAAATACGAGACAAGAAGTGTGTGTATCTAAAGGGGGCACATGTTACAGTGACAATGATTGTTATTTATTTTCTCCAGTATCATGGTCTTAGTCATATTTTCTTATTTTATGGCCAGATTAGACTAAGGGGATATGTAGACACAACAACAGTGTGGTTTAACAGAAAAATTGAGCTCTTACTTTTGTCTTGGTTTTTACACATCACTTTAAAATCCTTCTTTAAAGTGTTGTTTTAGGGAGGTATAACTCACAGGTGATAAATAACAGAGGTGTTGTTAACATCGGTTGTAATTACACGGCAAGAATCAGTAAATGTCAGACAGGAAATGAGAGAATTCATCCACCCAGCAACCACAAACACACACCCTCCCTCCACGGTTTCTCTCCAACTCTCTCAGACTCATTCACCCACTCAAACGCTCTCAACATGTTGGCTATGATCGGCAGAGTGAGCGAAGCTGTGGTATTTTCAAGGCTCTATAAATAGCTATCAGGATTTCTCACCACTATAGCAGCCTCAGCCTTTAAACACTGTGTCCATTCAGAAGTATCATCCAAGCAGTTACCGTCTTAGGAAACTATAACCTGACCAGTGTCAGAGCCAAGCTCCTGGAACACTGTACCCATTTATGCCTTTACACAGACAGGAAATGTCTCAAACTCCTGCTGCTGGGGTGAAGCATTTTTGCACATCTTCCCCTCACTTGCTCTGCCAGTCTGCATCTGTTTTCCCAGCCCCTCTCTCCCCTCTCTCCTCTCATGGAATGTGCATCTCAGCAGTATGGGATGAAAGTGTGGTTAACAGAGCTCTGCTGCGTGAGCCCGTCTGTGTTTTCATGTTTCATGTGCCTACATGTTGGCCTCTCAAATGAGATCAGAGACAAGGACTGTCAGCAGGAAAACAGTCAGACGCTCTGGGGAAGGATGGGGCACTTCCTCTGGGAATTGCCCACACAAATTCCTGGTGGGTTTTTTCCAGTGGAAGTGCTTTATCCTAAGAAAGACCAGGCTCTTCCAGTCCAATATGGCTGAGTGGGTTCTCACCAACTAATGCACCTGGTTCAGTAAACTGTGTGCGACACCAGACTCTGGCTTAAAACAAAGCAGATGAAAATATGGATTATAGTTTAACAGTTTGGTTGTTTTTCCATCTTAGACTTCCAATGTCATGTTTTGACAATATTAAGCTTATTCAAAATCCACGTATATATATGTATATATATACTTTAAGCAGTTTGTCAAACCAAGAGAGTGTAAGTTGTTTTTAAACTTCCCCGGTTTCTTTTTTTTGTTGGACCTCAGTGGAGAGAGAGAAACAGAAAGTAATAATAATAACCACATTGATTTGACTAGGTGAGCCTCGTGTTATCTTTTGGAGAAACAGAGAGCATTTGGCACATAAGCACTGGACTTTGTCCGTCATCACTTAGACTGGAGTCACTGTTAATTCACAGCTAATATACAGAAACAGAGAAGCAGCCAATCACCTTTCCAATGCATATGGTAATATAGTTTTAAATCAGACATGAGGAAAGGCAAACCTACCATATATTATGAAATCAGGTGTTTTTTCATTGTTGAGAAAATATGTGCAATTTTCCCAATAATAACACTTTTAAAAAGTTAAATCTTAAAGAAAAAAGTTGTTTAATAACCAAATATTTGAACATTTTATTTTTGCGAGAAGACCTCAACTGATTTTTGTTTTTGGCGGCAACAGTCTGACCTGGTAAAAGAAGAACAAATAGGAGCCAAACATGTTGTGTCTACCAGCTCTGTTGGTGGTGTTCTGCAGCTCATACTGGGTCATGTACTATTTTGGGAGGAAGAAGCAAAAAAGAAAATATTTTTCACAACTTGTACTGAGAAGAACCGAGAACCGAAAAAAAGAACTGAGAGACATTCTTGCCATTTCTCAACCCCGCCAGTCATTGAATTAAAGCAGTGAGTCACAGTCATGTCATTGTCCATTTAGACTTTGCAACTGACTTTTAGATTTTGTGGCAGGGACAATTTTATTTATTTTTTGATAATTCACATCAATCCATGGCAACAGTATCCATGCTTTATTCTCATGGAGGGCCAGTGAGAGCATTTGGGGAGGTTATGATGACTGCTAGACTTATGGGCTGTTGCAGATGGGTGGGAGAGCACATACAGGAAATGTCTCTTTGGTTGAGTAACCAAAATAAATATGATACAATCGGCACTGCAGAGAACCGCCTGCCTCTATATGTCCTAATACCAACTTTGAGTATCAGCGTTTTTCTTTACTGTGTGTTTCACTGAGGGGAAAAACAGCCTCACATCAGTCCACACCCTTCTTATTGTGTAAGGAGGCAACTGGAGAGTTCAGCCTCGTGTGAGGGTTTCTTATTGATGTGAAATTCAAGCGTTAAATTTGAAATGGGCTCATGTGGAAAACTGACAAACCTGATCAGATCATCTGTGGTCATAGAGGAGCCTGTAAGCTCAGAAGGACTCTCAGGTTAAATGTGGAGAATCATTCTCTGGTCTTAATTGTCAGCACATGCTGTAGTTGTGAGCTTTCCAGAAAATTCAAAATGATTCAGTGCCCACGGTTACTTTCGATATGAAACTCTCTGGGTCCAGTGCTGTCTTTATGCAGCACGCAGGGCTGTTGTGAGCTGTCTCCATCTGGCTGTATACAGCTGTGTTTCTGCAGTCACCGACACGTGGACACGGACAACACTTCTGTGGAAATCTCAGAGGGGGAGATGGTGTGTGTGTGTGTGAGAGAGACTTTTGGGGGGGACGGCTGCTTTCCTCCTTTAGACGTGCTAGATTTATATCCTGGAGCTGCAGCTGGTTAACATTAACCCTTCCACTCCTGTGACAAGCACAGATGTCACTTTGCTCTCAACACACACACACACATACACACACACACCTCCCTACTGTCGTCACTGCATAGAAACATCACTTATCTATAGGATGACATAATGTACAGTTCCGCATAATTTATCACTGAAGAACAAATTTAAATCAAATAATAACTAAGCAACAAACTTAAGTTTCCCTTGTGGTTGTACGATGTGTCTCTGTCTATGTATGGTCATTTTAGGAGGCTGAAATAAGTCAGTGATGTCTGTTTAAATTAGGTATCAGCAGATAATCTTTGGAAGACTATATTTAGCTTTTTCTCTACACCTATCACCTATATTACATATATTTGCTGTCTTGCAGTTGTAATCATACTGACAATTACATTCCAGAATCATGACCAGGAAAACAAAAATGCAGATACTCTTGAAAGCAACCAAAGACCTTCTGTAGTGTTCCTGTTTATTGCAGCTGTTTTTAAAATCAAATTTCTGCACATTTGTTGCCCCGGCTATGATTCTTGCATGTGTTTCTGGAGAAGTGGCAATTCAACACTTCAACCTCAAGACTCCTTTTCCTAGACGGCTGACAAATGCCCCGAAAAGGAAATGTGTGCTCACTTGTTATTACTGTAATCTGCATCTTGTTTCACCACAATCCTGTTCCCATGCCAGCAACAAGTGTGCAGAGCAGGGATACAAAATGTTGCACGGCCGTTCACACACATTAATGGTGCTTTCTTAAAGGTAATCCAACAGAGTCTTCACTGTGTGGCTCTGGGTGCTTGTATAGCAACGTGTCCTGCTGTTGGTTCTTCAGAGCTGCACACTGACTGGAATAGATGAGACACTGAATCATCTTCCGCTGCTTGGCTTTGCTTTCATTGGCTGCAAGTGAGACCACCTCCAGAACCCCAACAGACTGTTCCGGTAAGAACAAGCCTTTTCCCAGATTATTACACACTCACACACACACACACACACACACACACACACACACACACACACACACACACACACACCATACACACAAACACGTTTCTGAAAGTAGGATTACTCTCATGCAACACATTTTCTACCATTAAAGCACATGCGTACACGTTGTCTGTGCATGTGCACGTGTGAGCGACTGTCTGCAGCACAGGTTAATTGAAAGGATCTGTGTCTTTCATGTGGTTAAGTGGTAAATCTTAAATGATCTGTGTTGATTGGCCAGGGCTTTTATCTCCCAACAGGAAGGGCTTGAGGGCTTCCGTTGCTCTAAATCTGTGTTTCATTTGGGAAAAGCCACCAAACGCAGAATATGTGCACACGGTCCAGCTCTTTGTTTAAATTCAAGTCAAATAAAATGATTATAACACGTCTAAGAACAAAAACACAGTCATAACCAAAGAAAAACCTCACTATCTCTGACGTACTGCTCTTTATTCTTGCTCTTTTTTGCTCTTTGGCTTTACATGATAAATACTTTTTGATCAGCATACACATAGTAGCACCAGTCACATCCGTATTATTGGTCTGTTGTCATCACAGCCTTGTTGAGTATGCAGCAATCTGTCAGAAGCCACTGATAAAACTGTCCCCAAGAGAGTGACACAAAACAAAAGGATGTCCGCAAGTTACTCCATCACGCTTCAGTTTCCTTTCATACAAAACATATAAACAGATAAAAAATATATTTATATACTTTAAAAAAGATACTGAAAATAGTCCCCTGTGAAAAAAACAACACAAATCTGCATATCTCATCATGTTAAGGCGTTGCACTGTAGACTCACTGCACACACATTATAATATGTCCCAACAGGGATATTATAATGATTCTGTAAGAGGGTTTTAGATTAGTCGATAAAAGTAATGATAAAAAACTGGGAGACAAAGACTTGTGCTTCAATAGATAAGAATAATACTTAGCCCTATTAACATAAACCCATCCTGGGTATCGAGGCGGCTTTACCAGAAGCTGTTGGGCTGTTTTCAAGTCAGCAACCCATAAACACACTGACTATAAGGCCACAGAGTGATTTTGATGCTGTCACATCACTGAGGCTAAAAGTTTGTTGTGAGGAGACAAAAGTGTAAAAACTGCGACTACAGAAATTATCTCGCAACACAAATCTACAAAATGTGCTGTACTGTAAACTCACTAAACAATCTAATAAATCCTGACAGGAATATTATCATGGTTCTGTACGAGGGGAAAGGCATTAAGTTAGTCGATAAACGCAAAAGGTGAAGGCCGGGCCGGGAACAAACGGGGACACAAACATTTCAAGAAGCCATTCTACTTTGTCAAACTAACTTAGATCCAATCAGACTCTCATCCTGGGTTCTGTTGGACTGTTATCATGTCAGCAACACAGAAAACACATAAGGCCACAGAGTGATGCTGCCTCATCATAAACAGGCTAAACAGTTTGGTGTGATGAATCTGAGATTGGAGAAGCTGTTGAGTTAAATTACAGTGAAGTGAACTATTCCTCATCTTGATGTGGATCCCTCCTCCATCACACCTCTCCAGCACCATCATCAGATGACCGTCTGCTCGCCCCGGCACCTCCTGTACGCCTCGTACACCAGCGACAGGAGGTAGGAGACGCAGCAGAGGCAGGCGAACACGGCGGCCGTCAGGTAGATCTTGAACACACAGTAGTGCGTGTACAGGTGCAGGTTGCAGTACGAGTTGCGGTCCGTCTTGTAGATCAAGACGCCGATGGCCGGCAGGTAGAGCGCGACGGCGGCCACGTCGTGCGCCAGGTTGGTGCACAGCCACCGCTTCCCACCCAGCAGCGGCACCAGGTCCTGCTTGTCCAGCAGCGTGAGGAAGAAGAGGCCGAGGGTGAGGAGCCAGAAGAGCACGGCCACGAAGAGCACGAAGTGGATGGAGCCCTCGTACTTGTTGGCGGCGATGGTGACCCACAGCCCGGCGCCGAACACGATCTGCAGGATGCGGCTGATCCCCAAGAAGCTCCGGAGGAACTTGAGGATGTTGCTCCTCACCTGAGGAGGCTGGGAAGGCTGGGGTTGCATCTCTCTCTCTTTCTCGCTCTCTCTCCTCCTCCGATCACTCTTTTTTTCCTCCCAAACAGGGCGGGTGCTCTCTGCCAGCTGCAAACAGCTGGAGGAAAAAGAAACAGATGAGGAAAAGAAATAACGCAGAGGAAGGGTCCGGGTCGAGGTCTGACGATGAAGCCCCCCCCTCAAAGGCGGACACGCTTGGGTTTAAAAAAAAGGATGAACTCTCTGTTCTTTCCACAGCCCCGGGATTTTGAAATGAAAAAGCTTCTTGTATGTTTCGTCTTTTCCGTTTCCTCTGTTGGATGTGCTGGGGGGCTGGGTCACAGAGAGAGAGAGAGGGGCTGGCCTGTAATTGAAAACCTGCTCCTCCTCTTCCTCCTCCACCCTTTTGGTCAAAACACGTGGTTGATGGTTTTCAGATTTCACTGTGAAAACACAAGGAAGAGTCATAATAACATGAAGTGTTTGATATATATATATATATATATATATATATATATATATATATCAGTGGCGGATCTTTGATTCTTCTAGGTTGGGGGCTGTAAAGGGGCCAATTAAATGTCCAACATCCATGCACAATAGGTGCCCATTTGTCATTCTTTTTTACCGCCCTACAGCTTAACACATTTTAATATCTATTGTTAGAAAGTGACTAGTTCATTAAAAAAAAAAAAAAAAACAGACTACATCAAGGGCTACTTCAATCCAAGGCCCCCGTACACACGTGGTATTAACATGTGGCTTTTGTGATCCGATCACAAGCTGACAGCTCTAAGTACAGGTGTGAATGCACTCACATCAGATAGAGATCCAATCACGTCAGACCACATTCGGAGGTGGTCTGGGCCACGTGTCCACATTCTTTTAGCAGTGAGAATCCCTTCAGGTCCACATATAAAGGACCTCCCACTCAGCTGACATCCTCTAAAGGAATCATGGAATCATGCTTGTGTCGACACAGACACTCAGTGACATCACACACATCTGTGAGCTCAGACCGGCTCAAAACAACATCATTTTGTCTTAAATACGTATTTGTTCATTTGCATGTAGAGCGTGGAAGTGAGATCCGATCACAAGCAGTCACATGAAACACATTCAGGACGGATGACAATACCAGGGGATGTGCGGGGCCAAAGATTTCAGCTGGAGCCAGTTCCCCCCTGGTTCCGGCCCTGTGACATCCACCCAGTGTCATAATAACACAAGGCCTGTGGCACTTTTGTAACATTATTTGATACATTAATTCAATTCAAACATTGAGATTTCAAATTGCAAAGATGTAAATATAAGCAAATCAAAGACAAAAACATTTACAGAGGGGACAATCATTCTCATAATTCAAATCATCAATGAAACATTGTTCTATGTGCTTTTGTATTTTCTATTATATCATTTGTGTCATTTTTAAACAACATTTTCTTGATTTGGTTCTTGATGTTTTGTTTTCTGGTTTTTATTTGTCGTCTTTGGCTGTTTTGAATAGACATGAATATAAAACTATTGTTATTATAATAAAATACAATGAGCTCTGTTACAGCAGTGATGTGTTCAGGGCCCATCGTGCGTCATCCTGTGATCGCAGGATGCTCACGTGTTATTTCCCTCTCGTATAATTGACAGACGCTCCTCGTGCCAGCCCAGGCTCATTGACGTCAATGGATTTCAGCGACTGCAGCGCGCGACCTACGTGCAAGTTAAACACAAACCCCGCCTCCTCCCAATCCTTGTCTGTGATTGGTTGAAATCGAGCGTCACTCCAAGGCTCAGGGGCGGGATCAGAGGGCAGCAGTTTCCTGATTGGTGATCCAGTGACCCTGGTTTGTGATCGACCGAGGACTCAAGGACAGAAAGTGTTTGCAAGTAAACACGCTGATCTTCTGAGTCTCTTCCGTCAGCTTGTGTTGGAGAAGAAGCAGCGATGCGATAGCACCAAAGTTTGCCGGACACATCGCTCGATCCTCGGGTAAGTTTCATTCTTCACATGACTCCCACGTGATTTCTATTCGCTGCCTTTTTCCCCGCAGAACAATGGAACTCAGCAGGATTGTATGTAGGTTGCAGTGAGTTGTTCCAGTCGGTGCATCGTATTTCATCTGAAATGCAGAAATCGGGAACATCTCAGAGATCGTTCAGACTTCCACTTTCTTATTTTTTGCAGCGGTTCAGGTTTGTGTACAGTTCTCACAGCAAACAGCTGACTGACCAAACCACAGTGGGAGGCGGAGAATGAAGAAACCTGTGACGTTCACATAGTGTTAACCTACTTCTGATGCAGATGAATATGTCTGTCTGCAACAACAAAACAAGCACAGACAGTGTCCTCTAATGACCAGTGTATCATGGGAATTCTTGACTTTAAGTTGAATGTTTTCCCTCACATCATAACCGGATGTTAATATAGCAGCTATGAAACCCGTAGAACAAAATGTGCGAAAGTAGGAGCTGAAGCTTATCTCACAAAGAATATGTAACTTGGAAATAGCAGGTTTTAAAAAGAAAATACATTCCTTTTTGGATCGAGTGATAAAACAATATCAGAAGTTATTTCAGTATGATTTTAATAAATAGCAGTATAACAAAAGTCCAGTATATACATTGGTATAATGCCTATATGCATTGTGTGAGCACAGTGAGGAGACATAACACATAACTGATCTATCCCAGGTTTCTGAAATGTTTTGCTGTTTGTCAAGTGTTTGTCATTCTCTGCTCATAAAGAAGAGTTTAGATGTGCAACCGTCACTATGAATCAAAAATCAGAGTGAAGGTTGCAGAAATAATAATGGGGGAAACACAGCTGAGACATGGGAACACTTCTGGCTTCATGTGGAGCAGATCCTGAAATAAGATTTATTCATGTTAATCAATGACTATACATCCTTAGTATATTTCATTTTATGTTAATGGAGGGTCGTTCTTGACTGTGTAAGTAATCTGAGTGTGATCATGGTCACTCAGCTGATGCCTCTTTGTTTGTGTCCCACTTAAACGCATATGAGGGGGAAAGGGAGATAAAGTTACCATCTGTGGTTTTAATGGGCTTTGAAGCACAGCTCGTCACACTTCCTAAAGTAGGATTAAAGAGTCAGAGCAGAGGACCTGCGTTTCATTGTGACGGGTGTCTGCAGGTGTTGTGACGCACCCTCTCAGTGCTCTACACTGCATGTTGGGTTCTGTTGTTGTTTTGGGGAATTTCAGTGTTGCAAACAAATCCTAACAAGCTGAAACTCTTTCTTCTTCTGCAGAGAGGAGCGTCATTATATGCCACTTTTCCCCTGTGTTACTCCGGATGGATACTGGACCCACCTCCCCACCGTCCTCTATGGTGGCGAGCCCCCCCCCGCTGTGGCGGCTGGCCGAGAGGAGGAGCAGGAAGGCCGGTTCAGGGAACATCTTCAGCAACGTGAATCTTTTGCAGCTCCAGAGACTGTTCAGGGCAGCAGGGGACCAGGATGCAGAACAGAGGGCCCAGCTGGTTTGGGGCCAAAGAGATGAGGCTGAGCTGGCTCAGGCCTTGATAGGACTTAGGGCCCGTAACCACCGCAGAGGGCTAAGGACCCATGGCAGAGATGCTCTGGAGTCACGCTGGCTACGCGCCTTCAATCACCTCAGGTAAAAATGCTGCTGACTAAAACTATTTCTTTTACACTCACAATTTGTGTATTGTTGTAACAAAAGCATCATTGTTGTTCAGGATTGGAGAGAGCTCAGCAAGCAGCCAGGGGAAGGATGCAGGAGAGGAGATTGATTCTGAGGCAGGAGCACACAGCAGTCCAGAGCCACACCGACACTCCCCTGTAGGGACCACAGGGAGAGGTGCGGGGACCACAGTGGCACTAAATGCAGGCCACAGCCCTGCAGGGACTTCTGGGAGACCAGTCAGGGTGGGCTCAGGACTGAGAAGAGGAGGAGAGAGTGACCCAGAGAAATACCTCCACCGAATACTGCACTGATCGACTGCGTGTCTGAGTATTAACCAATAACAACTGGTTTGTCTCTTGAAAGAATAGAATAATGCCACAAACTCTGGCCTTTAAACGGCTCCGATCAGAAGGTACCGGTGCTGCACAAACACATCTCCACCTACATAATGTAGACAACATGAGCATCTGACCGGCTCCTGGTGTCGCACAACTTTACACTATGGTTGCTGCTCTCAAAAATGGCCTTATGTGCTTTCTACCACTCACACTAACCATGCATTCGTATAATTATGTGACTTGTTGTTCAGCTGCGTAAATCAAGAGATGAACAAGTTTGTATTTATTAATTAATAGGTTATTTAATGAAAATTTTACTTTTCTTTATGCTTTCTTATCAGAATGACAGCACTGATATTACAAGAGAGGTGCTTAGAGAAAGCCCTATCTCACAAAGCTAAAGACAATTAAAAAAAACTTTCCTGGAATGGTCCATTCCACCTCAAAATGTAATGGGTGTTTCCTGGGGTCATGCCCCATCCTGTCACAACATTTCACTGAAATTAGTTCAATAGCCTTCGAGTTATCCTGCTAAAAGTCAGACACACTAATTAAAAACACAACCTCCTTGGTGGAGGCCACACTGTGGATATATGCTGTACTTTGTCATGTCCTGTACCATACACAAAGCCATATGTATGTGTACATACATGACAGAGATGATGTACTGTAGCTTTAAAAGATTGTTAACTTCTTGATTTTTTTGTATATACACTAGCTAGAGTCTCAAAAAGTATCAAATCTGATATTTAACTTTTAGCCACTGTGTCCCTGGTAATGTCTGTGGTATGATACACGACACAATAAAAGGGTAAGAGTGCAATAAGAATAATGTTGTAGAGATATTCGACCAAATATATACACTACTCCACATTTACAGATGTGGACTGACATCTGTACCAGCCCTCTGTTTCTTGTGCTGTTTCTCATCAGGTGAAAGTAAAACATCAACTTTGTCTTGAGACCAAACCTAAAAGTCAAAGTGAGCTTCACTGTTCAGGGAAAGAAAGAACTGGAAATTAAACTGCTGTTGTTATATGTACATGGTAACAGTGTGGAAAGCCACTGTGCCTATGGAAGACTTTATGTCACCAACTTCATCGGATAGCTGGAAACGTGATGAAACCTTTTTGATAATATAATGTTTGATGTTTTATTTGTAGATTTATGGTCATTCAGTAGAGTCTTTGTATTTTATTGGGGTTTTTTCTGTATAGTCACGACAACACAATGACCATGTTGAATTAGTAAAGATTTTGATGCACAGAACTGCTCAGTAGAACTGCTGAAGGCTTTAATAAGAATATGTTGTTTTTATGTGAACACAGTTTTTAAAATAAATTAACAACAATCAAACATGTTTTCATTATTCATCAATAAGGCAAACAAAGAACAAGATGCTCATTTCCTGTTTAACTACATTATGACCACTGGTGCAGTGTTGCTCTGTTTGCTTTGGGCTGTTTACTTGGTCTGTGCTGGTAGCAGCTTTCTTTCTGAAATTGTAAAAGTGACCTGCAGTAATTTAGCCGAGTAACGACCGGCTGCAGGATGAATCCACAGAATCCTATAGCTGAGTCACTGCTGCTGCACAAAGACAAACTTCTGGAATAATCAGATTGATGCAGTTGACACATGTACACCCAGATGCTGCAGCCTACTGCTCCACATATTGCTAACCAGTTCAAGAACACTACATGTCGTTTCCCTCTCTATGTTTGAATTTAATTTAATGACACCTCTCCATATATATTCCACACATTGTACTTTTCACATACACAAAGATGATCAAGCTTGGTAGAGCTGTTTGAGAAACATGCTGCTCTCCAGTGGCCGTTTCTATACATGAGCCCATCAGGTGTGGACCTGTGTGCAGTCACTAGATGGCACCATGGGTTTTTACTTGGAAAGAGTCAGTGCAGAAATCACACGGGACAAAGATATTTAACACAGACCACTACTGTATATAATTCAGAATATGCTACACATTCACAGTATATATGCAGACACATATCAACAGAAACTGTTCTGTACTCTGAGACATCCTCCTTTTCATGCTTATAACTTTTCTTTCCACCAAGTTACCAGAATATATTGTGACGGCTAATGACTTGTTAAGTTTTCATCTCTGATTCCCTCAGGCAGTGTCACAGCATAACAGAGAAAACCATCAGACTTCAAGTACATCAGATTAGACAGGACACATTTTTTTTTATTTTCCTGATGACATTTAAAGAGGAATTTTTGGACCAGCTTTGCCCCTCCTCCAGGTTCCCTCCTACCCATCAATTTCCTCCAGCTCCTGGGTGATGCCAAGGAATTGACAGGTCACCTTGCAGACAAAATCCCTGCCTGTGATTCCTAGACCTGCTCAGCAGTGCCTGGCTGTTGCTGTGATGGAAATGCGAGGCACCTGTAGGGCAGCTTTACGGGGGGTGCGTCCTGAAACCTCGGCTGATTCGCTCAATACAGAGAAAGCGGCAGATTGACTCTGAGTTAATCCTCAATTCGCTGAGTTTCTCACCTTGTGTTAAAGTAAACTCGCCGCACAGAAAACCTCATTACAGAGTCTATATGCTGTACGTACGTTATCTCAACCATTCATTCACTCCATGAATCTTATGACTACAGATGAGATGTAAAGAGATGATCCAGCAATAACTCATCTGCAGCCAGATTTAGTGGTTTGGCCTGCAGCTGAGCTCACTCGTCACCATTATTATCAGAGGTGGAAGGTAAATCAGTACATTTACTCTGGGGTACGTTTAAAAAATTTAAATATTGTTATGGAGTATTTAAATTTTTGCTTGAAGTTAATTTTACTTCAGTGATTATGAATACTTCCACCAGAAGTGGTTATGGCAGATTGGCTTGAGGGGAGGGCTTCAGTCAGCCAGGACATGATAGGGACCCCTGAACTGGTGTCTGACCCAGATCCAGTAAAAGACTCTGCCCACACCTTAGCCAGTCCCATGGGTGACATCAACCATTGGTTTGTGAGTTGCCATTTTGAAGCCTTGAGTTTGGCATTTTGGCCAGCGCCATCTTGGTTGTTTGAAACCAGAAGTAAACATACGACATACATAACGCATGGTTACAGAGCCCCAATGCAAACCATGCTTTATCATCTATTTTATTGTAGATTGGACCGTAAGTGGAACATTTAACATCATGATGTATTGGAGAACACTTGAACCTAAAGATTGACCATAATGTCTGTATGATCACTTCTATAGAGAATAACAGTGGAGTCAGCCTCTAATGGTCATCCAAGAGAACACAGGTCCCAGGGCACTTCTGCACTGTTTTCTCTCTGAACCTGGAGTCTAGATTCGTTTTTATATACAGTCTAATAGTGTGTACCTGGCTGCTGGATGACCCTTGGTTGAGACTGCAGATGTAATACTGGACATATACCTTGTGGAATCATCATCTTTAGACCTGGTGGTGCTTGGTAGTGATCACATCATTGGTCAGAAGCAAATGAAAAACCTTGCATTAAGACATCTGAATTTCAAAGCTAGCATCTAAATCTAGGTCAAATTATACCAGAGTTGCAGAAAAAATGCAATCACGCTGACTGCTGTACTTGAAGCTATCATCTTTTAGTTCTGGGAACAATGGCAATGTGCTGATGTATTGTTGCTTTTGAGACAACATGCACATCATAGCAGTTTTCTAAGTTATATGCATAAAAATCATCATATTTATACTTCCCCAAACTAGTTTTCGTTTAAAATTAGAAATAGAATAAGACAGAGGTAGGCTTTTTTTTTTTTACAGGATTTCTGAATGTCACAGTCTGTGTCCTTTGAAGTAACACATTCATACAGTGCTTTTATATACAAATGTACATAGCACTTTTTGTATCGCAGACCATTAAGGGGCCTCAGGGGAAACTTGGGAATCTGGGTATTCAGTATCTTGCCCAAGGTACCTTCGGATTGCAGACCGGAGGGTTTGGGGATTGAACTACAACCGACATCTGGTTAGAGCACAACCCTCTCTACCTACTGAGCCACAGCGGCCCCTGAAAAGATATTTAAAAGTAAACCGTATAAAGTTGCATATTGCATATCTGATCTGTCAAGAAACTGTGCCATTCTAAGAAGAGCTGGGACCTTTAATGGTTTGTTATCACAACTATAGTATATGTAGCCCCGTTTCTCTGGTCAGACAGCGGCCCACTTTACATATCTTCCCTTTTAAACTTTAGTCAGCCATCAACTTTAGATCTACTTTGCATCTTGATCAGATCCTCCTCCGTGGCCATCATAAATTAGATTAACTCTGCTGCCTGTCTCCTAAATCAGCCTCATAATTGTCGTCTTGATGGATGACAACTTTTTTTATGATGCTGTTTCAGCAGAAACTTTCAGGATTTTTTTTTTTTGGTATATCTTTCCAGACATTTTAGTGAGGATAAGTCAAGGCAAAGCTGACAACAGATGAAAAAAGAGAGGAGCGACAGGGTTCAGATCAGAGTTTCAAAGAGGAGACAGAAGAAGAAGAAACAAACTTTTTTTCTCTCCCCAGCATCTGGATCTGGGTATGACTGACTTACAGACATTTTACTTGAACAAGGCTCTGTGAGCTGAATGTGTCCTTGTTGCATTGTAATTAGAGCACAGAATAGTAATTAGTGAAATAATATATACAGTTCATGCTTCTCGTGCTCTGATAATAATCCCTAACACACACACACACACACACACACACACACACACACACACACGCACACACACACTTTGTGTCTTTGTTCGCTGTAGAATCACACAACACTGCGGCACAGCACTCATTGTTATTCCTTCCTCTGTGTCATTGTGTGCCTTTGTTCTTAGACTCAGTACTGTACGGCTCCTGCGCTCGCTCACTTCTGCAGTCTCAAAACACAGGCAAGCCGCCGCCTCCCTGCCCCCTTTGAGGTGATCGCTGAACATCAAACACGATTTAACAAGAGTGTCCCACTGAGCTGCACAGGGCCAGCACCTTTTCCGTTTACTTTATCTAAAGGCACTCGAGTAAAAAGAGCTTTTTATTTTTAGTGAGCCTTTGGAAAATGAAAACTGCTTCACTGATGTGGAAGACAGATCATTTTCTTTAAGACTTTGAGAAGAAGACTTGGGTTGCAAGATGAATTAGTGGCGTTGGTCATGAAATGAAAGTTAAACCTTTCTCTGGGGTTACTGATATAAAAATGGACTCCAACCCCCGGTTGCCTTTAATATGTATACACACAAGGTCAAACTGCTTTCCACATCTGAGACCTTTCAGTTGGCTGACATGCGTCGCTGCCTTCAGGGTTGTTCTGGGCTGCGGAGAAACACACGTTGAGCCAACTTCACATCACATCATAATATGAGGGCGACACCAGCAGCAGACTGAACCATTCACACAGGCAGGAGAGGAGAGGATTTTAAAAGTGACATCATATAGATCTAGATTAGATTAAATAGAAGTTAGATCATTATGTCACTCCTTTGATCACTGTCCTTTATCTGAACCGACATTAGAAAATCCTAATTTTTCTTGGTTGTTACCAACCTAGATTTTTTTTTTCAGATCACAGACTGTCAGTTCATGTGCTGAAAACTGATGGTTTATATTTATAATGTACAAATTTGGATTTCATGCGTGTCACACTAAAACTGAACCTGCGGCTGCTGCAGGACGGCTCAGGTCATCTTATATGGCACCTGATCTACTAAAAAAACCCATCCTTTTTTAAATTAATGGGCGGAAAATAATAATATACAATGGGAGCTTAAAAAGGTGGAGGTGCTTTATGTTTGATATGTCACTGCTCAAGCAGGAAAATTGGCAGAACCAACGTTCAGTCAAATTGTGGCAGCCTCATATCACCTTTAGTTAGTCTGTCGGTGCACACTGTACTTTAATTGGTTGGTTGTAATAAAACAGCAATGCAGTGCAGGGGTAGCCAGTATTATTCTGGTTTAATGCACTGATGTGTTTGTGGTAATTTTAACCACAGTTAACATACTTCACTGTGTGCGTGCAAACAGAGCTGGTGCAGCACAATCAGTGTTAATTGTGTGGAGCGACACCAGGAGAAGTATCCCACTGTCTCGCACCACTTGACTTGATGCAACTTTGAGTTATTCAGAGATCCGGTTGCAGGGGTTGGTTTATTGTGATGTGTAATAGCAGCATGTACACATAAAGATCAGCGGGATAAAGTGGGACTAATTGCAAATTAACATGTACCACTGGGTTGGAACTAAGAGGGAAAGCACATTTGAATAATTCAGTTGAAAACAGATTTCGGAATAACCTAGAGTCAATGAAGAAAGTAGTGAGGAGACACGCATCCATGTATGCAGAATCTATGCTTTGCT